AGTATATAAATGTAATAAATTATTAGGGCTCATTGCACAATCAGCAAGTGTTTAGACTATTTTGACATTTTTATCCACCCCTTGAATCCTTCCCAAGAACCTGGGATTGGCAGATGTTGTTTGGTGATGTTAAAAAGTATTGTAGGAGGTTGTAAGCTGTTCCAGGCAAAGATGCCTTTTGCAATTGACTGATGGTGATTTTATTAATGTCAATGAGGTTCATGTACTCAAGTCCATCCAACCAAATATGTGAGTTGCCTGGACTGTAAAAGGAGGCAGAAAAGGATTGGAATTGCAAACAACTGCTGGGCGGTGTCATTACCTCCGTCCTTCCAAGTTTGGATGTAGTGGGATTCAAGCTTTGCTGGCTACATCTGCCAGCACTTCCTGCTGTTGCTATCCATAAGTTCCAGAGGCCACAGAAAGTTAAGAGGGTAGGACAGCAAGGGCAGAGAAGGTGCCAGGCAAGGCAGAAGATTAGGGAAGCTGGCAGAAAGGGGAAGTCTGAAACTAGATGCCCCTGATGAAAATTAGTTGGCTCTCCAACAGGACCGGAAAAAGTCTGCTCATTACCCAATCTCCAAAGTCAACGTTTGGGAGAGCAGCTCTTTGCACCAGCTAAAAGGAAGAAGTGCATGCAGTCATAAAGAATCATTATAGCGTTAAGAAAAGTACATTTCACTCCAAGGGGAATTTTATTGGTAGTTGGGTTTCCCTTCCCTCGGTTACTTCATCTGAGTGGGAGACTCCAGTTCCAGTTCTACTCATCTGCCCTTTGTGAGAAAGGGAACACCATGGAAATAAGGCCTTTTAATTTAACCTCAGGATAAAATCACCAGCGTCTACAGAAAAAGAGAGTTTTGTCTGGTTCTCCTAGAGAGGTGCTGGGGAACATGAGGCACTAGTTCAGGTGTAATCAACCTTGGGTCTTTTATGACTCGTGGACTTCAACTCCCAGAATTCCTGAGCCAGCATGGGGGAACTATGGCCCCTTCATGACTTGTGGACTTCAACTCCCAGAATTCCTGAGCCAGCCATGCTGAGGGGAAAGGGAGAGGTTTCCAAGCTGAGCCATGTTGGCTCAGGAATTCTGGGAGTTGAAGTCCACAAATCATAAAACAGCCAAGGTTGCCTATGCCTGCATTAGCTTCTGAGGAACCAGGCCTGGAACCAGGCAGATTCTCTCATTGGATTTGGACAAGAATTTAAACTGAATATTCTCCAGCAAAAGAGCTGAGGATTGAAAAAAAAGTTGCTGCCACCAATCTGCCTGGTTGAAATGCCAATAGTTTAATGATGGAAGGAGGAGCTTTGGGGGGCGGAAATAAAGGGAGATGGGTGTGTAGCAAGAATAATGGAAATCCTAATCTTTAATATAGTTTCATAATTTACCATCTAGTGCATTGTTTCTCAATCTTGGCAACTTTCAAGATATATAGACTTCAAGTTCCAGAATTCCCCAGCCAGTATGCTGGCTGGGGAATTCTGGGAGTTCAAGTCCACACACGTTGAAGTTGCTAAAATTGAGCAACACTGATTTAAAATAACTTTTAACCTACAACTGTATATATGTACAAGAGAAAGAAAAGGAAAGCTAGCAACTACATTTTTTTCAAGTGTTCTGTGTCTGAACAGCCTCTGTGAAGAAATGTGTACCTTTTGAAAGGTTTGGTAGGATTGTATTTATTCAAAATAGCTTGTTTCATCTTTTATCCCAGCCTTCTTCAAGCTCTGGTTATGGCGGGGGTGGGGATGGGGGTTGGGCAGCAAAGCCTGGAAGGCTTAGCAAATGGAGTCTTTGATCATATTATCTAGGAATGTTGGGAGTTGTAGTCTTACATGTGGAGGTCACTTGGATAAGGCTGCATTAACCACTGAAATAACAGACACAATGTGGTTTTTTTTACTCCGCTTCTCCACTTTTTTTGCATCATACTAAGCATCTGCCCAATGGTGATTTTGTCAGTTTCCTTTTTCTGGTGAAACTGGAAGGCTGGATGAAAGTCTCATCAATTTCGGCATGGCCCTCCATTAGAAAATTTAGGAAAAAGCCCTGTCAATTTCACTCATTCCCCGTAAAGAAATATCTGTATCTACACACACACACACACAATCACAAGAACTGCTGCTCTTGAGGTCTCTGCAGAACTTTATTTATAGACCACCTTTATTATATTTTTTGCAAATAAGGCAGTGAACATATCTAACACAATTTTCCTCCTCCTACTTTCCCCACAACAACAACCCTGCGGAGATGGATTGGGCTGAGAGAGAGAGAGAGAGAGAGAGAGAGAGAGAGAGAGAGAGAGAGAGAGAGAGAGAGAGAGAGAGAGAGAGAGAGAGACTGATCCAAGGTCACCCAGTGGTTTTTATGGCTAAGTCAGGATTTGAATTCACAGTCTCCTGCTTTCTAGCCTGGTGCCTTTGCCACTAGGTCAAACTGGCTCTTTCTGCATTATTATGGAAAAATAATATAATTTTGTTAATGAATAGAATTAATGTTGCTATGATGGGAGAATGAATACTACCGAATTCTACAAAGATCAAAACTTACCATAATATAAGCCTGATTTGAATCACTATACCCCCATTCCTCATCTTTTAAAAACACAATATGCATGCAATGCTTTTATTTTGTTTTCACCTTTAACAAGGAGAACTAGAACCATGAATTTAAGATCATTTTGTGCTATATAAGTAAAGCCTAAATTCCTTTTGTAAAATTATTCCAACAAATAAGATCAATTTGAAAAGAGAACAAAAGGAATGCATGGCTATATACTCATTTTTTTTAATCCTTCCTCTTTTTAAAGTCTCTGGGGTTTGGGCCTTCATGAAGAGTTGACTGCTAAATCGCATAATGCAATACCTGTTCCTCTGGCTTAACGTTGTAGGGTGTCCTCACACCACAGGATTGCTTCATGTTATTCTCAGATGCAATACCATTTGCTCCCCAGTGCTGGATCGTCCTTGCTAAGGCAAAAGACACTCCTGCTTTCTTTAATTACACATTTGGCTTCGATTTCTTCGTTTTTTTGCCCTTTATTCTGGGAATGAGTCATGACTGGATGCAAGTAAATACAGGACCCAATGAGGGGAACCGTACATTTGGCTTCCAAGGTGGGCATCGTTTACCTAAACAGAGTCTCAGAGCTCATGACGTCTAAGCTCACTGTGGTCCTTCAGAAGACAATGAGAACTCAAACTTGCCCAGGAATGTCAGGGCCAGACCAAGGACACTATTTAAAATGCACTGTTTTCATGCCAGACAAATGACGACACTCACAGCTGCAAAAGAGACCTGTGGGGAAAAGACGGGGTGATCTTGGAGAGGAGACTCCCCGATGCTCACAAGGAAGAGATAAAACTCTCAGGTCTGCTTTACCTCCTTTGGGGCACTTTGGATTTCCTATGGAATCACTTCAGGAGGAGAGTTGTGTTAGTCTAGGGTAGCCAAGTTTCTTTCAAACTAACACGTTAGTGAAAGGCACACACTGCTGGGGACTTCATGCACAGCAGCTGTGCATCTGCTGAAGTGAACTGGAGTTCATGAAAGTTTCTGCTTTTTAATAACATTTGTTAGCCTGGAAAGGGGCTACTACGCAACTCTTCCCAAGGGGAATCAAATATTGTTCTGCTTTCCAAGCCAGAAAAGTGCCAGAAATATATAGTAATCGGCAAAGGAAAACCTCCTTTTGAAAGGTTGCAGGGTTCCACGCCATCTCTTGATCCTTGGGTCCTAAGAAGAAATGGAATGTCTGGACATGTCCCAGCTGGGATGCCTTTTGCTGAAGGAATGACACACACTGATCAATTCTAAAAACTTGTGTAGGGTCTTTACCCAAATCTGCCTCTTTTTCATAGCAGAAGGCAAAATGCTGTGCCCAGAAGTGGGGGTGATGAGTGGGGAGTATGTTAATCCAGGGGTCTAGAGTGCAAAACTAGTTAATCAGAAGCCTCAGGAAATCCTTTCTTCCTTCTCTTTCTTTTCTTTCTTTCTTTGCAATGGCTCTTCCCCATTTGCTACATCCACAAAGTTTATTTCCCACCAGACCTTATTTCTACACTAGCAATCACTAAGAGTACGATCTTATGGTGGTTTGTTTTGAAATCTGTTTTATCAGAGGGGTAAGTCAAATATATACATATTTACAACACCCCTGTATCCTAAGCTACCCAAAGAATTGTTAGCCAAAGATATTGTGCAAAACCTCTGCCCACATAATTTATGGATCAAAGTGTTATGTTATGTCATGCACGGTGTTAATCATGGTCAACCATGTCACGCAAGCACAGATCTTCGGTTTCAGCTGCATTGAGCGGGGTATCTGTCCACGCAACTTAAGCTTGGTACACTCACTCTCGTTGAAAACTTCTCCCCACCCAGAAACGATCGCTGAGGCGCTACAAGATCTACTTTTGTAACTGGAGCCAAAACGCGGTTGCTGCGCTCAACAAGAGTTCCTTGCGCTGTAAATATGTTTAGAATAGGGCAGTGTTTCCCAAACTTGACAATTTTAAGGCATGAGGACTTCAACTCCCAGAATTCCACAGCCAGCAACGCTGGCTGTGGAATTCTGGGAATTGAAGTCCACATGCCTTAAAATTGTCAAGTTTGGGAAACACTGGAATAGGGCAATCCTACCCAAGCCTCGCCGGGTGCGCTGGGACAACGCGGCGCGAAAAAGGCCCGTCTTCTTAACAGGAGCGCAAATCAGCCCATTCATTCGGCTTGAAAAAGAAACTTCTCTTCCCAAACCGGGATGCCACAGAAACTAAGGGATCTGGATTCGAGAGCCTTCCGTCCGAGCCTGGATCTCCCATTCTGGGTTTGGGAAAACCCAGCTGGGGCTAGGCTAAGGAGAAAGATCACACGCACACCCAACTTTGCCCCGGCTGCAAAGACGCCCCTCCCCTCTGGCGAGCCCGGGCCAACCAGCCCAGCTCCCACCTCCTCTGCTCCTCCTCCTCCTCCCCGAATAGCGCCGTGGTGTCGCCTTGTTATGAATGGCCAAGGCTCCGGGAGGCACAGACGCTTCGCGAACGCCCTGCTTTGAGGCTGGAGCCAGCAAGCGAGCCTTCTCCGTGCGCCGGAACGCGCAGCAGACAGGCGGCGAATGACCTCTTTTTTTTTTTTTCTTTCTCTCCCTCTCTCTTTGCTTGCTCTGCTCCGCCCCTATAAATAACTGAGAGCAAAGGAACTTTCCCAAGTCAAGAGACTTTAGGAGAAGACTCGACACCTACCGTCAAATGGTCCGGAGCAGCCAGCCGCGGCTAGAGCGCTCGATCGGCAGCGGCAGCTGCAGCGTCTGAAGCAGCAATTCGCGATTTCTGAAGAAGGGGCTCCCAAGCCCCTTCTCCCTGCTTTCGGACGGGAGTTTCAAGGAGCCGGCGAGAAGGCAGAGGAATTGCCGGCGTCTCTTCGGTCGGCGCTTGCAACGTCTCCGCCCTCCCGCTCTGGAAGCATTGGAGGGGGGCCGCTGGTGGACGAGGTTCCCCTTTTTCCCCCCCGCTCCCCTCCTTTTGCTTTCATGCAACGCCTGGTAGCCTGGGATCAGGCATGCCACCCCCTTCAGCCCGCGGCCTTTAAATCCATGGAAGTGGCTAACTTCTATTACGAGGCGGACTGTCTGGCTGCTCTGAACAAGCTGCACCCCCGGGCGGCGGGGGCCCGCTCCATGACCGAGCTCACCGTGGGGGATCACGAGAGAGCCATCGATTTCAGCCCTTACCTGGACCCTTTAGCATCGCAGCAACAGCCGCCGCCGCCGCAGCAACAGCAGCCGCCGCCTCCTTCCACGGCAGCAGGGGGCAACTTTGAGCCTGTTTGCAGCAGCGGCGGGAGCAGCGGCCAAGATTTCCTCTCCGATCTCTTCTCCGAGCAGGACTATAAAGGCGGCGGGAAGAAGCACCCCGACTACGCTTACATCAGCCTAAGCAGACACAGCCACCACCCGGGCGTCGGACAGAACCATAAAGCCGGGTCGCTGCTGGGCTGCTTCCCGCCGCAGATGGTGGAGACCAAAGTGGAGCCGGTCTTCGAGCACTTGGATTCTTGCAAAGGGGCCCGCAAGGAAGAAGGCGGCGGCGGCGGAGGAGGAGGAGGAGCAGGGCCCGGCCTGGGGGGAATGTCCTCGCCTTACGGCAGCACCGTCCGCTCCTATTTGGGCTACCAGTCCGTGCCGAGCGGGAGCAGCGGGAACCTCTCCACCTCTTCGTCCTCGAGCCCTCCCGGCACCCCGAACCCGTCCGATTCCTCGAAATCCGCGTCGGTCGGAGGAGGAAGTGGCGGCGGCGTTTACCCGGCAGGCCCCGGCGGCGGCGGCGGCGGTAGCAGCGGCGGCGGCGGCAGCGGCAAGAACAAGTCCAAGAAGTGCGTGGACAAGCACAGCGACGAGTACAAGATCCGCCGCGAGAGGAACAACATCGCCGTGCGCAAGAGTCGCGACAAAGCCAAGATGCGCAATCTGGAGACGCAGCACAAAGTCTTGGAACTGACGGCCGAGAACGAGAGGCTCCAAAAGAAAGTCGAGCAGCTGTCCCGGGAACTCAGCACCCTCAGGAACTTGTTCAAACAGCTGCCCGAGCCGCTTTTGGCCTCCTCCGGACATTGCTAGCCTTTCCCCTCCCCGTTGACCCCGAACAGCTGGACGCCGCTGGAAACAACGCTGTGGTTTGGGCAGGCGGAGGGTTGGGGAGGCTTCCGGGAAGGAATGAAGCGGTGTTTGTGTGTGTGTTTGGGGGGGGGGGAGTGGAATCTAGTGGGCGCATCTGCCCTTCTTTTCAGGACTAGCACGGGTCGGAGGGGGTGGAAATAGTCCCGAGGGGTTTGCATAAATATATAAAAATATATATAAATTATATTTTTGGCCTTTAATTCACACTCTGATGATGGAAGAAACCTTTCGCCATAAGCTTCTTGCAGTACGACTCCTTCGGCTGGCGGGGGGAGAGTTCTCTGGCCGGTTTCTATTGATCTCTGCGCGACTTCTTGGAGGAATCCGTAGTTTTTCAACTTCATTATTTTTTTCTAAGAAAAAAAAAGCCGATACCAAACTCAACATAAGAAGCCATTTAATTAATATCCAATATGATTGTCTTTGCAAAGGGGTTTTTTTTGGGTGGGGGAAAGTTTGAGTGCTTAGTGTTATTTAAATTAAAAGATATATATATATATATAAAACGTAAAGGAGAGAAGAGAGTTCAGAATGATGCAATCTTTTAAACATGGCTGGGAACACCAGCTATACATGATGCAACCTCATGTAACTGTCAGTCATGGATTGAGTAATCTGTTAAAGATGTTCCTACTGTTTTTTTATTACAAAGAATGATCTATTTCTATAAGGAAAAAGACGTATGTATATTTTGGGATCTATGCATTCTTGCTACATATGAAGCATTAATGAACAATTTTAATAAAACTTTATTGCTAGGATGGAAAATGAGTTTGTTATTTTTAAAGTGCTGACATCCCTAATATTGTACCTGCTTTTCCTTTGCAAGAGTTGGGAGGGGGGAGGATCTGGAGTCAGTAATATAAGTAGGAGTCATCCCATCAGTTTAAAGAAAGGAAGATTTCTTCCAAAGCCTTTGGTTTTGAGGGTGTTTAATAAAATCAAATGAGATTGTTAGAAAAGAATTGGAGCAAAAACCGCTTTAAACTGCTCTGTTCCTTTCTCTAATTATTGTTTATGGATCTGACCATCCCTACAAATTGGGGTGAGATATTGGAAAGTGGTAAAAGTTTGTGATGAAAAACATAATGAATGTGCCTTTAACCTGTCATTTCTTATCTATTGTGCCTAATGGAGGGAGAATCCATTTCACCTGTGCAGCTTACTAGAACGGGAATATTTAGGTAATTGCAATTTTTAAAAGCATACAAATATATTTCATCTAATGTGAGTTTTTGTTTATAATAAATCTACATGCAAAAAAAAATGGAAGAAACTGTTTTATAGCTTCTAACTTTTTCAAAAAAATCCATAGCATAGGAATTTCAGAAGGTAGGTAGAATGCCAGACCAGATAAGCAGTTGTTTTGTTTGAAATAAATTTATTCTGCTTCTCGGATCTTTTGTCTTTTAAAGAACAGATGTTATGCTTCTAGAAGTTCAGATAATTCGCTTATTAAAAGTCCTGAAAAACTGGAATAATGCCCGTTCCTTTAGGATAAACTATAGCAAAAAGCTTTTGCAGTTCAAGTGTGATCCATGTCTTCCAGCCTAGCATTTGCTGTTTGCTGTATTAAATCAGATGCAAATTGTGTTAATTGCAGCTACAAAGCAAAAGTAATTAACTTCAGCCTTTGGCTCTTTCCAGATTTTCAGTGTTGTCTTACACAGCTGTACTACTTGTACTCCATTTCCCATTATTTTATTTATTGCTAATGTTTCCTGAATTCTACTGCTGTAAGTATATAGAGGATTGCATGTGTGAATGGAGGCTAGTGAACTAATGGTGAAGGCAGTTGTGAATGTGGTTGTGATGATAGCGTGAAGGGTTTCTTTGGAATCTGGAGATTCCTGGCCTTCTGTAGTTTACTTCTTGTATTTATGTCACTTGTAAAATGTTAACACAGCTTGGAATTCATTATATTGTATGTATCTTGAAGGCCTAGATAAAAAGAACTTACTCAGCATTTTCTCACATGCTAAGCTTTTGTAAGTACTTCTAGACTCTTCTCATAAGAGCCAGTTTGACAATAATGGTTAAAACATCAGAATAGAAACTGGGAGACTGGATTCCAGTCTCCTTTGGGCACAAAATCAGAAGAACAAGGAGCATCTCTGAATACATGTCTTCCTGATGTAACTATGTTTTAATTAGCAACAGGTAATGATTGCCTTATAGAAGAGTGGAGTTTGGCTTTTATCTACCATGGTTTTAAGGACCCTCCCAAATCAGTCTCTGCAACCTCCACAGCCTTTTTTCCAGGAATCCTGGATAGGGCTAGGTAAGAGAGTTTATACTTTTTTGCTGATTGATGTGCCATTTTCTAAGAAGTATATTATAAAATATTGAGATTTCTTCACTAGTTATGTAGGTCAAGAGCAGGTTTCTGCAAAAAACATGAAAATATATTTTTCTAGGCCAATTAATCCCCTTTCAAAGTACCATGAAATATTTTCTCTTGAATCTGAGCTGGAGTACCTTTATCCAGTTCAGTTGCTGTTTCTCTTAGACTTTGAGTCTGAGAAGTAGTTGGCATTCATTAAATCCCATTGAGATCACTAGACTTTTGAATGAATGCAAAGTTGGTTTTATAATCGCAAAATACAGTTCAGTAGGACTAACTCCAATATGTATGATCTTAGGCTCAGTTTGATAATTGAAAAAAATCCAAAGTCTATGTTGTACCTGTAAAATACACTGTGAATGCATAATTTTTTAAAGCTTAAATAACTGCATCAAGTATGTTGGTTTCTGTTAGTTACAAAAAAAAAAATTCTGTTAGTTTTGAAGGTTTTCATTTTCATCTTTGTCTTCAGATACTGATTTCCTAGAAATAGAACACAGCCACAAACCAAGAACAGATTGACTAGTTCAGTCTGCCCAGCAGGGTTTTAAGACCCGTATTTCTTGAATAGCAACTCTTATGCTGCATAGCAAAAATTGTTCGCAATATCATATTTGGATCTCCATAGGGGTGAGAGCAGATATTTGTTAGGTATATGAAAATCTTTAGGCATACCTAAAGTAACTTTCAAGATTGTGGTTTTTGGTTGCAATCTGGTTTCATTAAAATAAAAAGGGGCAAAATCTCAAAGAGCTTCCTTTTCTGTTTTATTTTTTTTACTGTTCTTAAAAAAAAAACCCTTGCTTATTTCAGTATTTTAGATGAGTGATACAATAATTGAGTCCAAAGCATAACACATACTTATTCTTTAGTCTTTTGTGATTATCTCCCACTTACTGAAACTCTACAAGCCGTGCTAAAGTACAGGTGTCCTATTCCATATGAAATACTGTTCATTGAATTTTGTACATTTAAAATTTGAGTAGCATATTCTGAATTGCAAAAGGCATTCAGATTCCCCAAGTTAGGATTTTTCAGTTGCAGCAACAGAATAGTTGCTTCCTAAAAATAACTAAAATTACTTATTTTGTTTAGAACATTTTCTTGCTTCCTTCATCATTTCTTTAGATCTTGTTTTCTTTCTGTAAGGAACCTCCAAATAGTTATGAGATAGTGATCCATCATTGTAGAACACCAGTTTTGATGCAGTCGACTCGACTTTATAAAAATGTGAAGCTACAATGAATCTGCTAGTCTTTTAATCTGTAAGATCTACAAGATCTTTTCCTTTTTTATACTCTGCGATTGTTCTTGGAATTAACTGGAAAAAGTTACTAATATGTTTTTAGAAGAGCTTAATTAGCAAATTATTAGAAGCACTGTAGGAGTAGTCTCAAGACAGAATGTAAATGCAATTAATAAGGCAATTAATTTATTTGTTATGTTTATGCCTACTTTTGCATTATGGATCAGTATAGCTTATCATATTTATCCAACAAGAAAATGCCTTCTACACAGTAGTAATTTAGGCAGAACGTATCTGCTTACATTACTTAATTTTCAGCAACTCAAAGATGTCATTACTGTCCACCACCGTTTTAACTTTTGAGGGAAAAAAAGCCTTTTATTCAAATGAATAAAATCAATGTGGCTGTCTGATCTTCTGCTTCCCAAGTAAAATCCAGAAAATACCAGTCTGTCAGTTGATTTGTCTATTTTAGTATTGCTGATAGACCCAATATTGGACTGTGAAAGTAACAGAAAAACTGTGTACATGGGGGTGAGGGGATGATTGTGTTGAAAATGTATTATAGTCATTCTTTTGTACGCTCAATGTTAGCAGACCCATAATTCCTTAAATAAGAACATATTTGTAATTAAATTTGAATTTCAGCTTTAGTCCTCTAATCTGAAACAAGTTATTGATCTTTGGTCAATAATCCCAAAAACAAGACACGAGAATTAAAAAGAAAAAAGAAGCAAGCACAGTTCTTAAAATTAGACAGTACTTAAACATTTGGAAATCAATTTACAGAATGGCTTTATACTTTGAAGATACGGGATTGGGCATATGTTTAACAGTGTGAAGTAAACCACAAAGTTATTGTTTAAATCTGCTTAAATAAAACACTATTTCATTTCACTGTTTAACTCTTGAGTTTTTATATGGTAGCAGTGAAAGTTATAGGTTACTTCTGAGTTTTGCCATATCATTTTAGTGTTTTACAAAACTTTCCAAAATAACAATGGCAAAAAGAGAGTTAGAAGTGCAAAGTGGTTTGTTTAATCTTGTAAAGCTTACCATGCACAATATTGTTTTTGTTTAAAGCATGCTCATAATTACCAAAATATGCATCAATTTAATAATGAGGTAAAGATGTTTGATTTATGGCACAAACTAACATTTTAGACTGAATACTCTACTGCTTGTACAACATGTGCGCTTGTACATATATGATCCCATAATACTGTTCAGATGTGATATAGAAATTCTAGGATTTGCAATCGGGATAGGGGAGAACGAGGCCAATAACCTCACTGTGGCCGTCAGTTTGAAAAACTTCATGTTGCTTTGGTGGGCTTATATCAGGGAACAGCTTGCCGAGGTGGAGTTTGCCTTGGTTTGAACACCTAGAGAGCAGCCTGTTCAGGTCCTCGACTTACAACAGTTCATTTAGTGAAAGTTCAAAGTTACAATGGCACCGGAAAAAGTGAGTTATCACCATTTTTCACACTTACAACCATTGCAGCATCCCCATGGTCCAATGATCAAAATTCAGATGCTTGGCAACCGACTCATATTTATGACAGTTGCAATGTCCTGGGGTCACGTGATCTCCTTTCGTGACCTTCTGACAAGCAAAGTCAATGGGGAAGCCAGATTCTTAACAACCATGTCACTAACCACCATGTCACTAACTTAACAACTGCAGTGGTTCACTTAACAACAGTGGCAAGAAGGGTCGTAGAATGGGGGCAAAATTCATTTAACAAATGCCTCGCTTAGCAACATAAATTGTGGTTGCAAATCAAGGACTACCTGTATTTTATAATATATAAAACATTTATATAGCCGCTCATCTTTCAGCCAACTCTGGGTGACTCCCCATGACAGGTCTCAGCAGCGGGCTCTGCTCTTTGCAATGCCTTATCCCATATGTGAAAATAGCCCCATCCTCTTGTATTTAGAAAACAAATTAAAACCATGTTATTCCAGCAGGGGTTCATTTGTTTGGACTTTGGCATATGGTTTTACCCGGGTAGACCAGTTGTGTTTTCACTGCTTCAAGTTGTGGTTAATTGGAGCAGGTTATAAACACAGTAAATAAATATCCATTTAATTGGAGCAGGTTATAAACAAAGTAAGTAAATAAATATACATTCAATCCAGTGAATGATCTTGCTCTAAAGGTTGGGGGGGGGAGAGGAAGAATTCCTAGTTTATCATTAATGTCTTGAGGAAAGATTGGATTTGCATTTTCAAAAAGGCATGCTGAGTCTTGGCACAGTATCATGTCAGGATAGACATACTGCAAATTGCAAGCTTGTTTCTTCAAGTGAAAGGCAGGAGTCAGTTTTCACGGGTAGTTAGTAGGATTTCCACTAAACTGGTGCATGCTGGTCTGGTCACCTGGATTACCACTGTCCATTCTCCTAAGGCAGGGCTCTGCAACCTTGACAACTTTAAGACTTGTGGACTTCAGCTCCCAGAATTCCTCAGCATAGCATAGCTGGATGAGAAATTCTGGGAGCTGAAGTCTACAAGTCTTCAAAGTTATCAAGGTTGCAGACCCCTGCCCTAGGAGATAGCAGAGGATGAAATGGTTAGATAGTGTCAGCAACACAATGAACATAATTTGGACAAACTCTGGGAGATGGGAGGACAGGGGAGCCTGGCGTGCTGTGGCCCATGGGGTTGCAAA